TTAAAATACTTTAATAGGTATTTTAAATGTTTATTCACTTTTGAGAGAGAGAGAGAGAGAGAGAGAGAGAGAGTGAGCGAGCGCACATGAGTTGGGGAGAAGTAGAAAGAGAGGGAGACACAGAATCCAAAGCACGCTCCAGGCTCTGAGCTGTCAGCACAGAGCCTGATGAGAGTCCCGAACCCACGAACTGCGAGAACGTGACTTGAGCCCAAGTCAGACACTTAACCAACTGAGCCACCTAGGAAGTCACCCAGGGTGACAGTCACCCAAGAAGACTGTCTTAAATGTCCTGATAGGCTCAGGAGCCTGGAGGGACAGAATAGGAGGGACTTTTCTGCGGATACATTTGAGTTAGTGCAATAGGAGCTGACCCACCTCAGAATGTTCTCAGGACACACATGTCTTGTGCAGGCTTTTTCTGTCTTATGTAACCCTTGAAAACTGAGCGAGGTGATACCCTGAGAAATAGGGAACCCACCTGCTGTTTGGAGAATGGAGACAGAGTGTGTGTTTGAATGCAGACACAGACAGGCACAAGCAGATCTCAGGCAGGTTCACACAGTGTGGCCCACATGCTTACACACTGTGCCAGAATGCACACCCACGTCCATTCATACACCCATGCCCAGCCACCAGTAGCACGTGCACACACACACACACGGTAACACACAGCTAGACATGAGAGTGCACCCACAGACACATGCGTAGACATGCCCCAACAGACATACCCCAAAGCATGTACTCGGTTACCTCCAGACAGACAGAGGCTGGCGTGCATTCAGGCACACTGGTCCACACACACCCTGCCACGCATTCACACAGATGTGCATGTCTGGACAGAAACAGGTATGGATACCCATGTATGCACAAATACACACTTCACAAACACAGGCGTGTGCACAAATACATACATCAGCATGGACCCGCTACATACATGCACACAGACGGGCAGACACCCCCAGCACACGTCCGGAATGACACACATATACAGATGGATAAATAGGAAATAACATGACCAAGGCATCTAGGAGCACCTGCTGGACACACTGGTATAAACAGAAACAGCCAGAAGCACTCAAGAGGGTTGAAGGGCAGCTGACCTGCAGGGAAGAGAAAGAGCAAGACAGTCAGACAGTCTCTCAGGGGAGAGACAGAGAGAGAGATGGGCAAGGGGCTGTGCAGGGGCCACGCGCCCCCCGCCCCCAAACAACTTTAGGGTCTACCTTAACCCACCATCTCCAGGCATCACGTGCTCCATCGTCCCTCCAGGAGGCTACCTCCAAGGTCAATGTCCCGTTATCAGCCCTAGGGGGAAAGGCTCAGCTGTGCCAAGGAAGGAAGGGCAGGGAGTTTCCCGCAAGGCTTTTCTCCCTTCCTCTTTTTCCAAGGAAACAGTATTCAGAACTTTAGACCAGAAAAGATCAAATCCAGAAGGGGGTTTAAAGAACCCCTTGCTCATGTCCTTCATCCTGTGGAGTAATAGGAACAGCTACCATCTGTTGACACTACTGCCACGTACTTCACACCCATCACCCATGACTCCTCCGAAAATGGCTAAGGGGTGTGTCTTGTTATTGGCATCATGAGACACAGAGAAGTGAGGTGGCCTGTTCAAGTTCCCACAGCAAAGAAGGGACAAGGCATTCCAATCCGTGCCTTCACTGTGCTCTTAACCCCTGCACTATTGCCTAGAAAGGGAAACTGAGTCCCAGTGAGGGAAAGGGATTTTCCTGGGTACATCACTAACTCACTGTGGAAGCTGATCCTGGGGCCCCTGCTCACACGTGTAGCACACACCTGCCTCCGGGGGAGAAAGCATGTGAGGGAGATGCTGGCCTCTCTCCCAGTTCCAAGTGATCAATAAACTCAATCTCACTTGACCTCCTTGGATGTACTTCTGCCTGTCATGCGCCACACTCTCCACCCTGTTCGTGACAGCCTGTCTGAACACTCAGTGTCCTGACTGGTGCCAACCTCACTATGAGAAAAACTCTCAAAGTTCTCTACCTCCCTCCTTGCCAAGAAAAAGTGGTGAGGTGGGGGGCGGGGCAGGTTTGCCACCAGGCCAGGTGGTAACTGGTGGTAGGGATTAAAGGGACCAACCCCTACTTGCCAAGCCTCTGCTAATCCTCTTTTCCTCGTGTGCTCCCTTTACAGCCAACAAAAAACATTCTTCTTTCTGCTTTGTTCTCTAACTTTTGTCTCTTCCCCACACGACTCTGGCTCGGAGGCCTAGAGCAACGTATCAGCCTGAGAGTGCCAACCTCACGCACCTGCACTCCTCTAAGGTTAGGGCTGGCATCTGAGCAGGGGGTTCAGCTATCAGACGCTGCCTCATGCCCATCGGGGCCCCTTTCAGGCCCACAGAAGACCAATCCAGCACCCATATGGTGCTCATGTCAGAGTCCGCCAGGACCAACCCCAGAGCCGCATGGTGCCACCCTACCGCCCCCCTGAAGCCAGCCCCGATGGCCACCTGCGTTTACTCTCAGACCCTCCTGGCACCAGACGAGGCTTTGTTAATGATCTCCTGATATCAAGTTCGGTGACAACCTGTTTTCAATCCTGGTGTCTAAGATTGAAAACAGAGCCTGCCACTGTATCTCTGCGTCCAGTGCCGACGCCAGTCTCCTCAGCACTCATGGCTAAACTTGGTCTGCACTTGGCCCTCAAGGTGGGCTAGGCCAGTCAGCGGAGGAAGGAATGGACAGGCTTCAAATCCCAGCTCCCTACCTGCTTCCGGTGCGGCTTCTAGCAGGTGGCTTAACAGCAAAATGAGGAGGCTATGAACGAGCCCTACTGCTAGAAGGACTCCATGAGATCACAGTCCCCACACTGCCCCTTCACCATGAGTGCTCACCGAAGGGGAGCACCCTCTTGTTAGGGAAGAGGGTCACCGAGGGAAGGACAGCAGGGCCACCATCTATCCTCATGCCCACTTTCAGCATCCGGGGCCTGGCTCTTTCCTAAACAAACATGGAAATGAGGAACATAGCTAGCTCCCCCAGGGACCTGGGTAGCACCAGTGTGGCACTCTGTAAATTACACCCTGGGACTTTTTTGGCACCATGTTGGTGGATGTCATCACTATTTCCAAGTTCTGCCCAGTCCCTCTGTCACTGAGCCCACGAGTTAACCTTTTTTAAAATTTTATTAAGAAAAAAAATATTAAAATTTTTTTTAATGTTTTATTTATTTCTGAGAGAGAGAGAGTAGAGGAGGAGGGTCAGAGAGAGAGGGAGACACAGAATCTGAAACAGGCCCCAGGCTCTGAGCTCGCTGTCAGCACAGAGCCCGACGCTGGGCTCGAACCCACAAACCGTGAGATCATGACCTGAGCCAAAGTCGGACGCTTAACCGGCTGAGCCACCCAGGCGCCCCTTAAGAAAAATTTTTAAATGTTTATTTATTTATTTTTTTTTATTTTTTTATTTTTTTTTACAAATAGTTTATTGTCAAATTAGTTTCTACATAACACTCAGTGCTCATCCCCAAAGTGCCCTCCTTCATGCCCATCCCCCCCTCCCCCCCACATCCATCAGTCCTCAGTTTTTGTCAGCATTCAAGAGTCTCTCATGGTTTGCCTCTCTCCCTTTCCCCCACCATTTCCACCCTTCTTCTCCCCCTTGGTCCTCTGTCAAGTTCCTCCTAATCCTCCTATACGTGCAAACATATGGTATTTGCCCTTCTCTGCCTGACTTATTTCGCTCAGCATAACACCCTCAAGGTCCATCCATGTTGCTACACATGGCCAGATTTCATTGTTTCT